CGGGCTCCAGTACTCTGTTGAGTCTGTGAGATCCATTGGGAACCGAATATATTCTATTGGAGATTTGCAATAGCGCCATCAACTACATGCTATAGTTAATAAAGTGATTTTATCGAACTAAAACTTATTGACTTTCAAGGATATCACAGGTTCACAGGATATGCGATTCAAACAGTAGAGATAATGAAATAAATAGAGTAGTTGATAGTTTTCTATATATTCAACAGTAGCGCATCATTTTGGCCGGCCAACGACAAAACAGTTTCCGAGCTGTATTTAAAAGAATTACGCCAAATGAAAATTTACTCTCTCAACTTATTAAAGATAAGAATGTATTGCAATTTTATTCGTATTTTTGAATAAAAAACTTAATAAAATTATTATTTAATTTTTGCAATTTCCTAATTATTTTTATTTTGAAAACAAATCTAAAAAAACAAAAATATTTGTTGTCTTGTTAAAAAATCAGTTAGCCGTTAAACACAATTTTTCCCGTTGCCAACCTCGCAGTCCCGTTAAATCTAACGGTAAACCCGTCAAGTTGGCAACACTGAATTTGTGATATTCACCACACACATAGACAGAGAAACTTATAGACTAATGATTAGCGTGGCCTCGAGTGAGAAAGGACGATAACGTAGTTTTAGGTTATACAATAGTCTTTATGACTTTTAAACATATTTAGATAAAATTTAAGGACTGAACTCAACAAGATTCATCAATCTTAAGCTCACAAAACACGTGTTTCTCATTTAGACCAACTTGTAAATTCCGTAGATCGCTACGAACTGTCAAAGATGTTTAGCAAAGTGTAGTTTGCTAAACAAAAAAACCGGCACGGAGAAAGGGACAAGCAATCACACCGCTCTATTTCATTTCTATGCAAGACGTATGCATAAATCCATCTTTTTGGTGTGCGAATGCGAAAGAAGTCGTCAATTGTCTATAGGTTTCTCTGTCTCCGACCACACAGTAATCTATAATTAATATGCTCTACTCACTGACCTCTATATATACAAGTACGCTGGACTGGCTATACACCGTGACATGGTGAAGCGATTTGATTTCCGCCATTTTGGCGCTGACAGCAGAAGTGCACGTCCACGGAACTAATACTAGGGATAAGACAGTGTACCAAATTATATCGATAAAAATTCTATACCCTACCTATAACTAAATAAATAGAATGGACTCTATGGATAGATGGACTCTACCCGTAACGTCCATTCTATTTATGTATCATATTAATATAATACCATTATCATTCATCATCATTAAAACCCTTCACAAATCCACTGCTGAACATAGGCCTCCCCCAAGGAATGCCACAAAGCACGGTCCTGAGCTACCTGCATCCATTAACTTCCTGCATGTCTTACCAGGTTTTGACTCCATCTAATGGGGAAATGTCCTACATTTCACCTACCAGTACGAGGCTGCCACTCGAGAACCTTTTTTCCCCATTGGTATTCGGTTCTGCGAGCTATATGACCGGTCAAATGCCGCTTCAGCTTACTAATCCATTGGACGATGTCGGTCACTCTGGTTCTGCTGCAGATATCCTCATTCCTAAGTTTGAACCCTTGAGCATAGCCCTCTTCATAGCTCGTTGAGCGACTTCGAGCTTCCTCATACGGCCAGCAGTCATGAAAGACCTCGTCTCAGATCCATATTTCATCACTGGCAACACGCATTGGTTGTACAATCTAGTTTTGAGGTATTCCTGACGAGAAGATGTGTTGTAATCTACCGAACGCTGCCCAGCCAAGTTGAATCTGTCGATTGACCTGTCGTGATGTTTTGTCCATGTTCATCTTAAGACCTATCCGTTGGAAGACACTATTGAAGTCATTGAACATAATGCGTAGGTCCTCTAGCGATTGTGTCATAAGGACTATATTGTCGGCAAATCGAAGGTGAGTGACGTTCACGACATTGACGTTAATACCCTATCCTTTCCATTCCGGTAGGTTGAAAACGTTTTCCAATGCAGCGGTAAAGTATTTCGGAGATATTACGTCACCCTGTCTTACACATCTCTACAGTTGGATTAGTTTTGTACTACAAAATAAAAATAAAAACATAATTTCTAGAATAATTTATTGTCAACCGTTCATTTTGTTTTAGTATTATAAAAAACAAATCAGCTGCTATAATAACGCCTATTCTAATCAACTACAGGTCTGTCTATTGACAGTAAAATATTTTCTACTATATAAAAATTTATGTTTGTTCGTACTTTCTACGATGCCATATCGTTCATCAGATTGCGGTAAAACTTAGTCAACTTATTGGTTGCACTTGTGCGAAGGTTACACACATGGTACAATTAACTGAGACTAGGTGGCGTGCGTAATATACTGACTATTTATTTGAAAGTTATAGAAAGTTATATATCATTCTATTTCAACGATTGTATTATCATTCCTAATTATACAATATAACTGTTCCACATTTTTAACGATATTTCCAAAATTATTTCTTCTGCGGCAGCAATGCGCCGGGTATGAGCTAGCAGATAATATAAAAAATATAAACTTTGAATTACATAGTTATCAGTTATTTACAACGACCTTTTCGAAATTAAAATTAAAATATTAAAAAAATTACTGAAATATCATTAGAGGAAGTGAATGGAGCCAGGGAAAAAGAGCACTTGGAAGAAGGGGGCAAAGTCGCGAAAAACAGTCGAGTGGCGCATCGCCAATCGCCATACCCACACTCCTCTTCCCTTACGAATCCACCTCGACTACAGCGGTACAGGGAGAGAAATCTTCTCTAGCCGCAGCCCACTAACATACATCGAACGTGGTTCGACATCATCAGGCGACCTTTCGACACTTGGCTATGGCCCTTGAGTTTGGTGGAAAATGAGGAAAGAAGAAATAAAAAAAAACATTCGAAATAATAATCTAATACATAGTACTTGGTAGTTGGTAGTGCTTGGTACTGGTACTACCAGAAAATATTGTCGGTATACTGCACTTTTTCAAAGTGGTGCAGTTCTCATGTCTAAAAAACAGTCGTCTGTGAAATGTTTGGAACAAATATGATCATTTTGTTTCGGACGCCAATTCACAATATTTATGATTTTAAGCCATAATTTTAGTCTAGGTTCAGTTGGAAACCCTTTAATTAATAAACATTTGATAATCATCTGTTGTTGGTGATTTTGTTTGTTAACAGATATGGGTAGGAAAAAACATCGATAAGTATTATAGACACGGAACTCGACAACCCTATTGAATTTTATTGTTTATCAAAACTCAATAATATACAGCCAAACATGTTTTTATATATGATATTAAGATTAGTAACAAATTTCTAAGTACTTATATTATCAAATAGTTTTAATTTGTTTAATATTTACTGCAAATTCACTTACTTGTGAAATGTTACACCACTTCCCTTTTGGTAACGAGTTTTACAGATTACGCACCCTCTCATTATTATTAAAATAATTCTTATTATGTAACTAATATTATACACAATCAAACAACATAAAATACTTTCGTTTTTTAGTTTAAAAGTTCAAAATACAGACTTATTAAATATGACAATATGAATAAGACAACATACTTTGGCATATTATGTCAATTTTATTTTTCAAGACATCCTTTAGCGGCGCTTCTAATTGGCACAGTCATTTTGTATGATATAGCCAGTCCAGCGTACTTGTATATATAGAGGTCAGTGGCTCTACTGTTTCCCTTTTTTTGTTAACTGGATTTACGGCTCTGGGTTCTAGCCCTTCTGAGCCTATCATTTCGTTCGGAATCTTCATTTTTATCTTAGAGCATACATTACATGGAGGGAGCACTGTGTGAGCAGAAAGCGTGATCGGTGCTCTAAGGTTTAGGTAGAGTCTGTCTCTCTCGCACATGCTTCTGATTGGCTGGCGTGAAAATCTCGTCACCTTGCTTAGCGCATGCCCAATGAAACAGCCAATGACAGTGACTGTGCGAGAGAGACAGACTCTACCTAAACTCAGTCTCTCTCTCTCTCTCTACGCCGATCACGCTTTCTGCTCACATAGTGCTCCCTCCATGTAATGTATGCTCTAAGATTTTTATATTCTTTTTCTCCACAATATGCTGATACGTCACACTGCGAAGTCCTTGAGAAATTTTGACGAGAGCTTAACCCTACGGATAGTTGATGACGACAGCCACTCAAGTTTATAAGGCGCCAAAGTGAAAAAAATAACTTGAGGTTTATATCGACATCAAAGCACTTGTTTCGTCATTTTCTCTAATAGTTCACATGCACGGACACTTAATTCACAAAATCGCATCACTTTTACGAATTAAAATCCACTTAAAACCATTATTCAAGCGACAAAACAGCCAAAACTCCTACTGTTTCCCGCGCATTCGCGGATCAGAGTAGGGCACATTTTTTGTTTGGAATAGCTTCTCTAGTACGTAGTACATATAACTCAATGTGCCTAGTGCAGTTTAAAACGCATTTAGAAATTTAGAATACAGAGTTATTAAACTTGATACCATGTCAAAGATTAACTAGTACAGAAATTATAATTACTTAACAAACCTTACTTCCATACTGTACCTAAGTGACTTGTAGGCATAAACTGTCATAGACTAAGTAAGTATATAGACGATAAGTAGCACAAACTAATACGTTGGTAAGTAGAATACAAAGTTATAACAACTTTATTGTAAGCATACATCAAGTTATCAGTAATGCGTACAGAATGTAAAGATGTAAAATTTTGTAAAAAATAGAATAAAATATAATGATTTCACATAAAAATTGTATAGGTTTTGTTAAATGTATATAATTAAAATGTCTATAAAAAGAATATAAAAAGTTAGACAATTATTTTTGTATATAGAGATAATTATCAAAAACTAAATAAAACGTGTCGGTTTTTTTATTGTACGGTTTTATTTATTTTACTTTTAGTTACTTTTCGCTACCGTTATCGGCTTGGACTGTGCCATGGTCTGACGGTTTGGTGTTTGCTGAAGCTCTCTGAGATGAATCTTCATTTGTATGTTCCTCCAGCGGTATGGAGCACGGCGTGCTTTTCTGTGCACGGGCTCTATTATCATCAACTAATAAATAATCTGGCTTTAGGCGATCTATAGAGATATTCGCACGTCTACCATTGATTCGTATTTCGTAAACCTTGTTCCCCCCTTTGATGACTCGATATGAGCCATTATATGAGGGTTGAAAAGATTTACGAACTGCATTGTTACTTACGAAAACACATTCACTCAACAAAAGGTCGGGGTGAATAAACATAGAACGCGAATTACTATGACTTTATGCAAGCAGTTTAATTTTCTTAATTGTATCGCGAATTTTCTCAACTAATGCTTCTGGACATAGATTATCATTACTAGTATTTTCAAAGAAATCTCCAGGCAATCTGAGCGTTTGACCATATACCATCTCCACTGGACTAAATCCGTAGTCCAACTTGTTAATAAATTCATTTATAACTAGGGACTTTTTGGTGGCAGTCTAGACACCTACGCTAATTGTATGTGGCAACATTGAAAATACGTTTCCTATTCGTTCATCGTTCGCAAACTACACAAGACTATACTAAGGATGATCGATGTTACATCAACATCGATGATGACATCGATGTTACACACCATGAAGGTTAGAGAACAGGAGAACGATCACTACTTACTAAAGCATAGCCCGCTTGTCATTGAAAATTGTAGAATGTATAGCGGAGCTCACGTCGGTGAGTAGTAACTGCGAAGTTAGCTGTTTATGAGTACAAGTAGATGAAGTTAGTTGAATAATAAAAAAACATTTTCATTTCATTTTTAATGTGAAAATTTTCATGCTCCGTAATTTCGTAATTTTTGACAAAAAAAACATTAAAAAATGGAGCAATGTTCTATTGTGCGTGGATGTGCAAGTGGTTTAGCATCTGATCGGAAAAATAGACTCAAAATGACATTTATTGATCGAAACCTCGAGCGATCGCAGCGCCTCACTAATGGCGTCCATATTTCTGGACACTATTTTCTACGGTGATCGTTCTCCTGTTCTCTAACCTTCATGGTTTGCACTGAGAAACATCCAACACGTAATTTTTTGAAACAAATGGCATAAAATAAATCACACAACATGTTTTGTCGATGGTGGCGTTCGCACTAACAAAAACTGTGTAAAATTTTCATCAGATATTAAGATTTGTTTTTAGCTGTGTTCGCATTGAATACAACATAGACATTCTATTTGTTTATCTATAGATTTGTCAACGTTAGCGTTCGCACTGTTGTTATTTATATTTCGCGATTTGTTTTAAATGGTGTTTTTTTGTTATCCAATTTAGTTGCTAAACATCACAAAATATTATCACCCCTAGCGGAGATGAACGATAACTTTATACAAAATATAAATGTGGTATATATCTCCACAAACTCCATGTTTATCATTAATCAGATTACCTGCAATTCCCTCGTGTGGCGGAAAAGTTTAGTCCTTTTTTGGGGTATTTTTTAGGTTGCCTGTCCCAGAGCTCCATATAAAAGAACATAATAAAATACAATAGGCACAAATTTCTAATTATTTATTCACTTAAAATACTTAACGTAAAAAAAAACTGTACAAAACTGTTTATCAAATAATTTAGTTTGTCACTGCTATCTTCATAATGTTTTAAGTGACAATAAATTTTTCTTCCACATCTACTAATTATATTTATATATATTAATGGTATATATAAATATATACTCCACCACCTTTCTCTCAAAATTTTACAAAGTTTACCATAGTTTAGGCTTATTCCAATAATCTGTGTTTCCTTGGAGATATACAGGGTTATTTTGCGATAACCGGTCAAATTTGCAGAGCAGATTCAAGATAACTAGTGTTCATCAAATATCAATATAAATTGATAGTATTTAAAAAATCTGCCAGGCCTTAAAAACTGGTTGATTGATTCCAACAGCAAAGAGTACTCAGTTAACCCTTTAATAGAGACTGTAACAGGTGGATGACCTTTTATAAAGCCACAAGGCTATAATTTTCATGTGTCACGTAGCTTTTCCTTTTAATTTCTTATTTGAACTTGTAATTACAGAGCAAATGTTGATGTTATTTTCTTGAATAGTTTACTTACTGTATTTTCATTAGTTAAACACTTAATACAATTTTGGCTTTTAAGGTTTTCGCATGTATCACTTTCTTTAATTTAAGTTAACGTTAAATTAAGTTTTTAGTCTCTATCTCATATTTCACTACGAATCACTGTCAAACACATTGCACGCGCGTCCAGAACCTCGATTTCTCTCTTTTTTGTTGTAAATGTACAGCACAGATACTTCAAAAAAAAAAAAAACAAAATAAATAAAACCAAAGAATCAATTATTGTTGAAAATTCTCTGTCTTGGTTAAAAAGTTGAAGCCCTATATATTTCCCTATATAATATTGTAGTCTTTGAGTTGAAGTGTCTACAAATACAAAATTAACGTCAAACTTATCTTTCAACATGACAATATTTCTACAAATTTGTTTTCAAACATTTTGTTTCTGCAGTTATATAGATATAATATAGTTAAAATATGTAATGTACAATAAACTGTCAAACATATTTCACTACAACATGTTCCTTGACTATGCAAACGCTTTTTGATACATTGACAGAAAACAGTGTTTAAAACAGTTTTTTCATGAAAATCGCGTCAATGCAAACTCACGGATATCGAACATCGATGATCATCGAACATCCCTAGACCAGCGTTGCCATTTAAACGGCAATTGCCGTGTTACACGGCAATTTGGGTCTATTCAACAATAAAACACGGTACACGGCAGCATATTAATCGCCATGTTCTAAAACATGGCAATCCAATGGTTACTAAGTTTTTTCGAAAATTTTATCGGTAGTCAATAAATCATTATAACGCACATCACTAGACTATACTAGACTTAGTCATGACTCCTTGAGTGGGGAAATCCCGACGCGAATTCAACATATGTATATTCGCGCACACTTTATGGTTTATAGTATTCATTTCATTCTTTCGTTTTTGAAAAGGTACATTAAAAAGATATGTTGCTGTTTATTTACTTTATTTGACTTTAATAGGTAATCACTTTACCCGATACCAAGGAAATTGTGTAAATTTCAAACCGACAAAACAAATGATAGACAATATGAAGGAAAATAATAAATATTAAAGACGAAGAAGAAGTTTTGAATACGATAAGAAATTTGTATGATGACTGTGAAGAGTAACGTTTTTATGTTATGATTAATCTTACGTGTAAATTTAAAATAAATAAAAATGCACACGGCAATTTACTAGTTTTTATTCCAACACACGGCAATCTAGATCCCAAAACACGGCAACTTAAATTTCGAAATGGCAGCCCTGCCCTAAACCATAGATTACTGTGTATATACTAGAGACCCTAGACTGTACTAGCAAATCACCTAAAGGTCTAGATACCAGGCCATAAACTCCAAAAAAAAGTACTAGCAAATCGAATTCAATTATTCAACGGTCATACAGTATTTCTCATTTTCTTCTAATTCAGATACATCATTCTAGAAACTTCTTAAATTGTTTAAATATTAAAGAAAAAGGGTAAGTAGAAATCTATGCGAAGTTGCTTACATATTATTTCTATTTTTATGTTTAAATTTTGTTATTATCTCTTAAAGATTTTGTCAAAAGTTTACAATGAATAATGAAACTAAAGAAGCGTTAACAAAGAAGTTTAAATTATTGCAAGAACGATGTATATACGTTCATAATGCCATTAAGAATTTGTCAGATGTGGGTCCTGTACCAAACAACATTGAAGCTGAAGCTTCAAATGACGTAGAGGCTTCACGAACAGAGATACAAAATTTGTACACGTCTATTACGACGGACAGTAATTTACCAACAAGTCAATACCTCTCTGAAATTCAACAGTTTACTGACGAAGTCGAAAAATTCATAGCTTTTACCGAGGGTTCAATTAATTACATGGATGCTGAAATGGAAAGGTATTTATTGTTTTATTTTTATTATCACTCGTAATTCATATATATATATATATATATAAATAATCCAGATGTCCATATCAGATTTTGTAATATTCCTAATTCAATTGATTCAATATGACTAATTTTGGATAGTTAGCTCACATTTTGCTGACAGTTGACTGTGTGCCATAAACGGTACATGGACTTATCACATTTAAATCGTGAGTAAACTTAGCGCATACTGTGGACTTTGAAAAAACTAAATATTGAGACAAATGCCATTCAAAAGCCTGTCTTCATCATCCTCAAGTACACTGCTAGGATGTTCCATTGCACAAATAAAGCCATTTTCTTATTTTTTTCAATTACCCACACATAGAAAAAAAAGAAATGTTTTACGTTTTTTTATTTATTGATACTCTGTTAACAAGTCTTGACAAAAAGAGCAAACAAACTCAGAAGTACATGAAGTTAGAGCACAAAGAAAGAGGTGGGGGCGTGGTACCGTTTATGGAACACGGATATGAAGAATCCAAGCGGGGCGTGTACTGTATTCTGTGCACTGGATAGCTAGCATGTTAAAACTGTCATTTTATTCTTATTGCTTTTGAAGTAAAATAAAAAAGTCAATTATTAATGTATTGAATCAATGATGAATAATGATACATATCCATAAAAACCTGTTACACATTTATATTTTTAGATTAAATAATATAATCGAAACATCACAAGAAGCCAGGTCAAGATCTAGAGCAGAAAAGAAGCCCATAACGAAGAAAGAAAGATTAATAGAAAGATTCCATACAATTGAAAAAGTACTTCATGGACTTATGTATTCCTTGTATCCAAACTTTGCCGACCTTGTCATGGATGTTTTGTGGGTAAGCCTTTGAAATAGATTAGTTTCATTCATTAATTTCTAGTGACCTGATCATTCAAGTATCGATTCGTCTGACAAATTGGGTCGTTTGAGTTGATTATTCCAATGGATCATTTCAAGTTTCAGTGATATGTGAGGTTGCTTAATAAAGTTGGTCGTGGGCATTACTATACTCGTTAGTTGTAGGTCTTGTCTATTGTTTGATTCAGAACATTCAAAAAATGTAATTACAATCATCAATACTTGGAGGCGACCCTGGTCAAATTCACTTGACACATGCCTACTTGAAATATCTTAATCCCTTGGTAGACCTTTAAAAATGCATTACTATATTCATTGGAAGATTTTTCTTATATTATATTGAACAGGAGGGTTAGTGAGTGCAGAGACTTTGTATGTTGCCGCATCCAATCACCAATCTTTTAGGATATAGACAGTTTTGTTTTCCTTGCATGGTGCAAATTAAGTGACACTTGAAAAAAGTAATATCCCTTACTCGTCTCGTATAATAATGTCCTACAGATCAAATTTAGATAGGTTATAGTCTGTGCGTGTGAAACGCAGGTGCACTCTTTATTCTCTCACTTATAGTATTATTGGGATGGCAATCCAACATAGCTGAAAAGCGATTAGGCTCAGGACTAAAGACTACATGTTGTCCAGGGGTGAAAAACATCACTTCGGGCTTTTACCCCATATAATATTACTATTATTTACTACTAGGGATCTGCCTTGTTTAAATTAAAAAAATATTTGTTTTAATTTGAAGCAAACAACACTTGAGCTTTATAGAAGCCAGTATTTTTAAGATACTGTTAAAATTTGATTATAAGTATAGATAACTATTATTAAATACAACTGTTTCAGCGACTGATGCAAGAGAAGTTTGATGCAAGATCTAGTGGTTACATTAAGGTTACAAATGAGAACTACAGGGCTATGCGATTTCTAAGACATATAAAAATGGTGTCTCAAAACCCCTATAATAAAAAGGAGTTTAAACTTGTTTAATGAAGATCTGTGTTTAGAAGTGATTCAGTTACAGTTACAGGAAAATTCTTCTTACAACAGGGTAGACATGTATCTTGAGAATGTTATAAGTAACCTTTGTATTGGCCAATATATTTCCTAATTTATAAAGAGTTTTTACTAAAAAAGTGTAGTATGTTAAAATTGACTAAGAATAAATTAGGAAATATGGAATATGAATGAATAAAGTAATCCTTTGTAAAAAAATACAACATGAAATATCTTACCTGTGTTGTTTCCCATTCATTAATTACAGCCTAACAAAAGTCAGCAGTCAGCAGTGGCTAAACATAGGCTTTCCTTATACAATATGTAACGTAATTAACGCACATCCTCAGACACCCCAATTAGAATATTATGTTATAATCATAATATATATACTGAATTTTTAGTTAAACATTTTTATGCACTGATTATTTATCAAATTAGTTATACTAATTCCGGAAGAATGTTGTGGTCACAGTACAAATCCACGAACGTAAAGACTTTAAGTTGCTTGAAATAAAGTTCATTTTTATTTATTTTATTGAATGACAGAATTAGTAATAATACAAATAAAACTGCACTCTTAAAAGTCTTATTGCCTTAAGTTAGGGTCCATTTCAGATTGTTTTGACTGTACAGATTTAGTGTGACTGTAATTTACGTAGTTTTAATTATTTTTGGGATAAAAAATTACCTATATTAAAAATGATATGAATCGATTCAGTAAACGATTCTGAACAAACTACTTTCTCAAAGTGCGTTAATTATGTTACATGTTGTATATTACCTTATAAGTGGGATATTTGCCATCACTGCCATGCTTGGCAGGCTGGTTGACAGGAGATCAACACTGTTCAAAACAACATCAGATGGTGAAATATTAATAAACATACTGTTTTGATACCCTACGTACTTACGTCAACACAAACCACCATACCGCAGCAAACAAACATGTTTGATGCTGTCAGTTTTTATGTATGCTATAACCCATTCGTTGCCTCCTGTGAATAGAAACACATTACCCCTATGACGTCGTTCGTTTGGAGGCGGCCGCCCAATGGCGTCTAAGGCATCTCGCTAAAGCAATCTAAGGCTCCCATCAGCGGCTTCGGTATGATGTAGTAGAAATCGACGTGCATACCAAAAACAAATACTATTATGGTTTGTTTTTAAGTCAGGAAACATCAACTTTTTTTTTAAACTTACTAAGGTCCGATAGACCGGACGAACGGACGCCTGGCTGGTCTTCACCCTTTCGATATCGAAATACCACGCATTCGAACCAAAAACGCTTTGCTTTGTCGTTCATACTGCGTAAGAAAAAAGAAGTAGAATAATCTGCCAGTATATCTGTATTTCCATCCGATTACGTGTGTCTCTTAAAGCAAAAGTGAACAGTTTTTTGTTAAGCTAAGTTAGTGCGCTTTACCACCATTTACCATCATGCGGGATAGTAGTAAGTAGCTTATAATAGTAAAAAGTGACTTTTAACGCGCCTAAAGACGTGACAAATTAATACTATAAAACAACGACAAAGAGATTTAAACAATATTATAATAATATAAGATTTAAACAAGAAGTGACACAATGAGTACTCAATAACATAGCGTGAAGCTATAATAAGGAAAACACGAAAGTTACTCGTCTCTGTTAGTAGCGGATGTACAATGTGCCGGTCCATTGTAGACATTTTAAGAAATATTGATAGCATTACCGGTAATCAAACGATAGTGTCGTTAGGAGGAATACTCTGCTATTTAATCATATTTACTATGGAGTGTAAAAGTAAGGAGTAGGTACAAACTCCCATAGTAGAATAGTTGAATTAGTGGTCATCTGTAAGCTGTAAATAACAGCTCAAAAACTCCACAACAGCGCTGGAGTAGCTACTGGGATGAAATGAACTTATCAGTTGTCGACGGTTTAAGTGTGCTGCTAAACTGCTCAGTAGCTCTAAAATCTAAAATAATTTTATTTAGTAAATGTAACCTCGAAAGTGTCGTCTATTCTACATTTTGTATTAATATTTCTTCATATTGTATTAATATTTTTCGGTGCGTCCTTTAAAATTTACCCCGTAGCTATAGTGGCGCCACCCTTATTTTAAGGTTTTTATGGACACTTTTTAATATACAGTCTGTACTCCTTAGGTACCTACTTCTTTCTACACTCCATAATATTTACGAAAAATCAGGTTTTTTTTTACATATTGAATATATTCGGCCTTAATGATAAAATCAGCGTCGAAAAAACACGACGTAGAAAGAGACAGGTGTCGAATTAATGTATATAATATTAATATATATTGCATATAAGCAAAATACCACTGACTTACTCATCGCGATATTTCTAAAACTATACGAGCAATATATTTGAAATTTGGTGTATAATATATTTCTTTCTCGACGTCGACAACTAAGAAAGGAAAGAAGAAAAGAAAAATGTCCAACTCATGAGGGGGTGAAATATGCAATGCAAAAATATGAAATATGCAGTGCTACGTTGATAGTGTAGCGATAACAAAAGATATACAGAAAAAATAAAGTAAATTGTAAATCTACTCAAAATAATAAAAAAAACCTGCGGTCGACAACCCGCTCGCCAGGCATGTCAACTACAGCAAAACCCCCCTTAGAAATAATCTATGGGGGATGCCTACGTTCAACAGTGAACTCATTCGATGGGAATCTGCCTTAAATGTATGAAATCCGTATGAAAATTTCGTTAATGTAACCCACGGTGTGAAAAAAATACCAAAAGAATCCTTAGGCGGTGGTCTCCTATAAACGCCATCGGCCGCTTACAGCGTCACGTCGTACGATGCTTACTATAGAAATGTACTGTTGTGGTTTCAGTTTATACAAAGGTACTCTGTGTGTTGTGGCCTTCTTCACAAGCTGATGTCGGCGTATGGACGTCGTAGGCGGCGTTAAGACGCTTTGCACTGCGTCTCTTGTTATTTCGAACCATTGCAGCGTGAAGGTCGTGTCTAGCGTCAGTACAAGATGACAAAATTTTATAAAGAAAAAGACGAATTATTGATTTATTATTATGTTTAAATTGTTGCTAATTAATACGAAAATATTTAGTAAATTTAGAATTGCTGTCTATTAAGTGTTTCATTATCAATAGCTGGAAACATCCTTCTTCATTTCTCTTCATAAATAATTGGTGCCTTTATTTTTCTTCGTATACGGTCGTCTTGCGCCTCTTCTTCAAGTAACACAAGCACCGCCAAAAGTATTGAATTTATATCCATTTTGTGTACAAATATCACACACAACCACACGTGACCACTGGCTGCTACTTAACTGTTGTTTGATCGAAAGTCTAGACATCGTCCGTTGCTAAGATATGTTGACCGCTGACGCTGTGCCTGGCGTTCAGACGCCGATCGGAACGTTTACGCTGAAGTCGGACGTTGCAGATAGCATTTAATAGGAGACCGTAGCCTTATATCGCATACGCTGCGGAAACAATTTACAATAGAGCAAAGTGATGTACTATAGTTTTATAGAAGATATCAATATCTACATAAAAGTACGCTATAACATATGTCTACCTATAAAAATTATGTGAAATATTTTTGTTTGTTTGTTTGTATTGAATAAGCTCCGAAACTACTAGACCGTTTTTAATAATTTTTAATCAAAAGAAATAGAAAGCTAAATTATCACAAAGTAGCATTTATTTTCGAAAAAAAAATTGGAGATCTTTAAGAAAATTGTAACCCAAAGTAGCAAAATTTTGCCTATAAAATTCATTATTTGGCGTGCGCTGAGAAAACTTGATGATACATAAAAATTAAGTGTTACATGATAAAAGTACTCATTATTACCGGCAAAAAAGTCCGAGTAAGGAATATATCTAACTATCATAGTTATGTCACAATAGTAGCTTTTGTGTTTTAAATTTTAATTAGATCACCGGTCGAAACAAAAGTCGGTTACAGTCGTATCGTAGTATTAATTCTTATTCAAATACTTAAATAATTTTATCTTAAGTCATAATGAAATAATTTGTACCTTTTTATAAGGAGTATATTCTGTTTTTACTTAGTTATACATATCTTGGCGGTAAAGTTAGACATTTCAATAAACCTAAACTTTGAGCAAAAAATCGATTAAAAATAAGAAATGTTCATATTTTGTGGCAGATTGCGTATAAATGATATCGCTTTCGTAAGTATAAAAGGTTGATAGAAAACTCATCAAAGATCGTTTCGTACCTCCACACTTTTCATATAACGTGTACAGTGTACACTGTACACTTATCAGTTATCTTTAAAACTGGAAAAAACCGCGTTTCGGGGCACTTTCTGGGGCGTTCATCCGGGAGGGAGAGAGAGAGTGAATAAAATTTAACTTTACTGTTTATCATAACACATAATATGCCGATTGATAAAAGTACTACATTAATTTTGCCAATTTTTTATTTAAAATGATTGAACTAAGTGAGCCAGGTGTCTAGTCATGTCGCGCAGCGCAGACACATGGTATACGCGGGTGAAACGGCGGGGCACAGCTATATAAAATATTTTTAAAACAAAAAACAATTTTAAAATTTTTTTAATCTGTTTTTCTGTTTGTTCCCGCTAATCTCCGAAATGGCTGAACCAATTTTGTCAGGACTTGCACTGGCGGATAGCTAATGTTATAAGGAGTGACTTAGTCTATTTTTATTTTAGAAAAAGCGACAGTAGACTAATGGCGGGGCGCGGACCGCGAACTCAAAAAAGGTCGTGGGTTCGAATCCACCGTTTGACCACTGGCGTGAATCACTCGTAGCACAAGCAATTTAAGCTTACCACGAGTGGTTAAGGGGAATATTAGTAATGTTTATAACATTGTTAATACTCTTTAAAAAATTTTGAAAAAGAATTGGGATCTTTCGCAAAAAATTCGAATCCATGAAATGAATGAATGAATTAATTGTAATAAATTTCACGCGTACAAAGTCGCGGACAACAGCTAGTATTAGATACTTGAGTTTTATAT